CAAAAAATTAAAATATTTTAAAATTAATTTTAAATAATTCTATTGAATGGTTAAATTGCCCTGCAGTGAGTTGTCCCATGATGAGTTGGCCATGATAAGTTGGCCACAGAGAGTTGGGCACAGAGAATTGGCCGTGGCGAGTTTGCCCATTCCGGTTCAACATGGTGTCTGTAGCTAATGAGAATTGGGAAAAAATATTAACTTGGGGAAAGCTGAACTATATGTTTAAATCTGTTGGATGTGGAAAATAAAAGTAACACTTTCCCCTGCTAGTGCCATAAAGTTTATACACATACTTGCATGGTTACCTTTGTAAGCAAAGGCAAGTTTTGATTCTCCATTTCAGGATCTTCTCCAAAGTTACTGTCAGAAGGAAGAAGAATGCAAATGTTTTCAGATTTGCAGTTCTTTAATTACATAAAGAAAATAGTGAAATATTCAAAAAGCTGTCATATTGTTTCAAGCTTTTTAAAAGTACCTCTGCTTCCTGTTAATACACAGTATATTTTATTGTGTAAATTTTATTTACATTACATTTGCTTAGATTCTTCCTGTTAATACAAAAATGTTACCTTTCTTCTGCTGAAATACATGTTTTGTTTCAGAAAATAAAATTACCTAAGAAAATATCTAGACGTTACCCAGCCTATGAGCTATATCTCTACGGGGAAGGAATTTCTGCAGAAGAAAATAGAAATCTAAACTTAACGGGGATTCCTATCCTTTTTCTTCCTGGCAATGCTGGAAGTTTTAAGCAAGGTAAGCTATCTCTGAAGGAATAGCAGTATTTCTGTAGAATACCTAAAGAGGGAATAGCATGGGAATAATAATCTTTACATGAATCTATGTTTTCCTGGATAATAAATGGTTTGCATTTACAGTACTTTATTATATTTATTAGTTACATTTTTAAACTGCCACAATTAAAACAATAAAAATGCAGGAAAAAATGAAGTAACAAAGCCAAGCTATGACCATACCAAGATGGAATCAAGGACCAAATGCCAACCAAACGAGCTCACTTTTGAAATATTTCCAGGTGGGAGCCAGATGAGTAGTCCACTGGAACCATTCCGAAAGCAGTACTAGGGAGCCTCGCTACCACTACTTCCTTCAAGTAGAGGTCCATATGTATTTTCTCCTGGACAGTTTGAGTTATCAGAGCAAATTCCATTGAGAAAATGCACTCCTGCAAATAACTTGGAGCCAAGCTACATACATTATATTAGTTACCAGAAGCCCTGTAAATTGCACTGGGAAATCTGTCTGTAACTAGTGTAGCTCCCATAGCACTGATGTCATGTGCTCCCTCTAGCAATTTCTGGTTAGCAGATGGGCTGCTGCATTGTGAATGAACTGAAGCATCTGAGTAGTCTTCAAAAGATCCCCATATAGAGGTCTGTGCAGTAATGTAAATGGATGGTAGCAAGGGGATGAGTCATTGTAGTAAGGTCCTCCTTTTCAAGGTAGGGTCCAAAATTGGCACACCAACCAAAACTGGGAGAAGCCCCCACTGACTGCAGTTTTCACCTTCTGTTTTAAATGGAGCCAGTTACAGGCTTGTTCTTTAGTGCTAATCCCTGTCAAGAGACTACTGGAGCAGACAAATATCTCTGTTGGACAAGCATCTTGTTAGGATTTTCAATTTAAGCGCACAGGCATCAGGATAGGACTTCAATACATCCCGAGTCTGAAGTATCAATATAAAGCTGTGAATCATTAATGATACCCAAGTGCAAACTATTAGATGACCTTTTCCAGAGGCTACATGTATAGGTTAAATAGGAATGGGAGAAGACTGGTTTCTGACTTCCACAAAGTAGTAGCCATCAAGCCAGTCGTTCCTTCCCTGTCCTCCCTTCCCTTCTCTGATTGGTAGAACTGCAACATATCACCCCCCAATCTCTCACAGGCAATCCAAAAGTATGCCCTGGATGACAATATTGAAGGCCATGGAAAGATCTAATATGGCATAGATAGGTACACTATCTTCGTCTTGGGCCTGACGAAGATAAACCACTGCTATCATTGCTGTCTCTGTTCCACAGCCAGACCTGAATTCTGACTAAAAGGGCCAGGTAATCCATTTTCTTTGGAATACCATACATTGATCCCCCACCATTGTGTCAATCGCCTTTCTCTGGTGTTAATTGGTCTCTGAATCCATGGAGGACAAGAGCTCACTAAAATTGCTGAAAGTATTTCAACCTTTCTAAGGTTCCATTTGAAAAATAATATTGTTCTCAAGTTACAATGCATATTGAGTGTGGATTTTTGGAATTTGGAGTTTGAAGACATAAAATTAGAATGAGGTTTTGTTTTTGTTTTTTTAAATCCTCATAGTTTTGTTTTCTGCCTTCCCCCTGCTTCTTTTAAGGATCTACTTTATCATCCAAATCCAGGATTTTAATTATCTCTGCTTCTAATATATGCTTTTTTCAGTACGTTCTCTTGGATCAATAGCACTGAGAAAGGCAGAAGATATTGACTTCAAATATCATTTTGATGTCTTCAGTGTGAATTTCAACGAGGAACTGGTTGCACTATATGGTGGAAGTCTACAAAGGCAGACGAGATTTGTGCATGAGTGTATTAAAATAATTCTTAAATTATACAAGGTATGGGGATAAACACAAGGTATATTAACTTGTTACTGTTTTGTGCCATTATCCCTGTAAGAATCTGCCTCAACTAGATCTCCCAAGGAAGCAGAACTCTTGAAACAGGCATTGTCTCAAAAGGAACTTTTTTGAGAGTTAGTGATGACAAGAGAGCAAAGCAAGGTCTGAGATTTGGCGCGTAAAGGATTACATCAAAAAGGCAATTCACAACTCCTTCTCCCAGTGTCCAACCATCTGGTTGAAATCATCCCAATCCATAGGTGCCACGGTGTTATGAGAAGCTGGAGATTTAGTGTGCTTCTCAAGGTCTCTCTGGGTTTTGTTTTCCAACAGTCCCAGGCTATGTTGTCTGGAGATAAGGCAGATGTTTTCAGGTCACATTCCTCTCGACCAGAGGGAGGGCTTCTCACACAGTGTAGAACAAAGCAGATAATATTCCATCTGCAAGCACCCTCCCCCAATAATATGGCAAGCCCCGAAAATACATAGGCAAAAGCAAGAGAGGGAAAAAGGAAAGGTTTAAAGGCAAATATAATTGAGGGGCTCTGACATTCGGCCCCCCTAATAGAAAGACAAATCCACCTGAAAAAAAAACAGGGGAAAAAGAACATAAAAAGAAACACATTAATCAGGTTTATCTGGATAGCGAGCATGAAAGCATTTGAGCAATCTAGGGACCCTAACATGCTTCTTAGAAACCCACTCATTCTGTGAAGCAGGCAGGTCTTTCCAGGCCACTAAATACTGTGTGGAAAATCTAAAATATCCTTAATTTCAAAGTATTGCTCATCCTCAATCATAATAGGTTGAGGAACCAGAGCGGTCACAGTTTGTAATTTGGAGGTGACCTCAGGTTTCAGTAAGCTACAATGGAAGACTGGGTGGATTTGTCTCAAACTCTTAGGGAGTTTCAACTCCACTGTAACAGGATTGATAATCCGTTTAATAGGAAACGGACCAATAAATTTTGGGCCCAGCTTCTTTGATGGCTGCAATGATTGTAAAAATCTAGTGGAGAGATAAACTGTATCTCCAACATGGAAAGGTTTAGGTTCCATTCTTTTCTTGTCAGCCTGTGCTTTATAAGCTTCTGTAGCCTCATCCAGGGCTTTTCTAACTACTGGCCAGATGTTTTGCAATTGATAAACCCACTCTTTTAGAGAAGGAATAGCAGGTTCGGTGGCAGGCAGTTCAGGCATAGGAAGGAAACTCTGGCCATTTGCCACTTGGAAAGGAGTGAACCCAGTGCTGGAGTGTACTGCATTGTTGTAAGCCACTTCAGCAAATGGCAGCAGATCAATCCAGTTGTCCTGCTCATAATTAATAAAACTACAGAGATATTGTTCCAGAACAGAATTTGTTCGTTCTGTCCCCCCATTCGTTTGAGGATGATGACTAGATGACAGGCCCTGAACCAAACCCAGAAGGTCCAAAAGGCTTTGCAGAATTTAGAGGTGAATTGGACATCTCTATCAGATATTATATCTTTTGGAGTGCCTTGAAGGTGATAGATATGTTGCACAAACAGCTTAGCCAAAGTCTTTGCAGTCGGGATCTTCTGACATGGGACAAAGTGGACCCAAGCTGTGCTTTCGGGCAGCTTGACAATAAAATCCATAGAGATCTCTCTCCAGGGTGCTGAAGGGCTCAGTACTGGTTGCAGGAGGCCAGGTGCTTTTCCCTGCCTACATTTAGTGGCAGCACAAATAGGGCAGCTAGCCACAAAACTTTCAATGTCCTTCTTCAAGGAAGGCCACCAAAATGGCCTCTTGAGGCAAAGTATCCTGCCCTTTTTGAATTGTGACAGACCCGCATGATTCTCAGTCTCTGATTTGCAAGCACATTCCTCTCGACCAGAGGGAGGGCGTCTCACACAGAGTAGAATGAAGCAGATAATATTCCCCCTGCAAGCACCTTCCCCCAATAGTATGACTAGCCCCAAAAATGCATAGGCAAAAGCAAGGGAGGGAAAAAGGGAAGGTTTAAAGGCAAATATAATTGAGGGGCTCTGACAATCCCCATGATGCAGAGAATATGGAAGATGGCCTTGATGAACAGACAGAAGATCCATTACCATGCAGTGATCAGATACATGTGGCTTAAGCCCATACCAAGAAAGTGATTTAAGAAGATACCTCAGACAGGTCCTCCCCCCAATTCACCTGAAGATAAAAGAGGGACCATGGGAAGTACATTCAAACTTGCAAGATTCAGTTACTATAGCTATTCTAATAAAGATAGCTTTAGGCAACATTGTCTGTTCCTTAGTCTGGTCTACCTTAAAGGAGTCACATATTAATTGTCACATGGGAAAGAATTTGTGCTTTTATATGTTTTCATTGTGCCTGATGTGAGATTATTTTTCTTTATTTTTTGAAGGGTCATGAATTCGCTCCCCGCAGTGTTGCAATAGTAGGTCATTCCATGGGTGGTCTTGTTGCAAGAGCACTAGTCATTCTTAAACATTTTAAACCAGAACTTCTCAATATTCTTATTACTCAAGCGACACCCCATGTTGCACCTGTGTTGCCTTTAGATCAATATCTTGCTGGTAAGTACATTCCTAAGAATTTTTGGATTGGTGGGGTTCTATTTTGCCTTCCCCCTCTTTTTTGCTTTTGCCTTTTTACTTTTCAGTAACTGAATAAGCTTCATTCCCACTGATTTAATGAAAAACACTTAGAAATTCCAAAACCTTCCTTGTTATACCTTCTATTATTATACCTACTAATATTAGCAATTTCACCAGAAATGTGTTGCAGAGTAGAATAATGTGGAAGATACTCAGTTCTGAAAGTTGATATCAAGATTTTTTCTTAATATGTACTTGTTTAATCATAGCTTGCATATAGACCTAGCCTTTAATTTTATGATGAAAATAATTGTACTTAATATGTCTTGGCAGCATCAATGATGGCCACTTACGTGCCTGCACTTAAGCAAGACAGGGGCTTAACAACAATTATATCACTAACTTTGGATTCTGAAAAATCCAAGGTACTCCAGAATTCTTCAGATATTATTTTCAGATCCCTCACTTCTGTGGGCAGTTGGATGATATTGTGAGATTATGCCAACTCATCCATATCCAAGACTTAAACATTAAATCAAGGGTTATTTGCTTGATATTAATTTGAAACCAATTACTAGAAGAGTCTGAGCATGAATGGTTCTTGCTATCAAATAGATTATAAAGTGGTCTATAAAAATGCCCACTTTATACACAATAGTGATTAAAACTTATAACCCAAATTATTGCAATATGTGCGCGTATGTGTCTATGCATGCATGTATGTATGTGTGAGTAGGATTTACAGTTTGTACAGTTTTTTCTAAATACTTGGATTTACATGTTGAAATATGTTTAAATGTATATAAGTAATTTGAATGGATACGGTCAAATATATTGGAATAAGATTACTGCTATTAAAGTTGAAATTAATGCATATCAATATGAACTTTCATTAAATATTTCATATACAGTAGATAATAATTTTTTTATGGGAAACAAAACTCTCTAGAATATCTTTGATCAACTTGTAATTACCTTATGTAGAATAGTGGCTTTAACCTGCCGGATTTAAACTATGTCACTGGCCTTTTATCTTAATTCTACATTTTTCTGGAATATGATTTATTGTTTTGCCTTATTAGTATGCTGAATTTGCTTAGTTTTTTTTGTTGTTTGAAATTGGATAGTGGGGAAATGTGGAATTATAAGATATGCTGATATGTGCTACAAAATTATTATTTTGTAATACTGAAGAAATTGCTGAACCTCAGGAAACAAATCTGCAAAAATTATATTTAAAACAACATTCTTTTCATAGATTTTTACACAACTGTGAACCATAACTGGATTCAGAAGGCTCAAGAAATAAGGAATCTAACAACCCTTTCTGTAGCAGGAGGATTTCGAGATTATCAAGTTCGCTCTGGATTGGCTTTTCTGCCCAGTTCAAGTAGTCAGAATTGTGCTTTATCTGTTGTGGTAAAACATCTATTCTTTAAATGTTGCTTTTAAGCCTTGGCTTTTGATGATCATTAAATATTACTGTTAACATTCCTGAATAGTTTAGTCCTTTTTTGCCCTAACATCTGCCCTAATTGAATGTGACATTCTAAATTGAGATCTCAATTTGAGTGTAGCATTCATTGCTACATTTATTTGGAGATTCTTCCATCTCAAGAAATAGCACATTACATTTGATTTAGAATTTTCTCTATAGAAGAAAATTATGTAGCTCAGGGTTGAACTGTGGAGTTCTTGGTGCTCTCTGAATTTGGTTGATTTCTTACAGACATTTCATTACCCAACTAGTAAAGGGAAACTACTATATATAAACAGAGAATAAAACCCACCTTCACTAGCACTGATGATATTATCTAGTTGGTTAATGAAATGTTTGCAAGCAAACAATCAAGCTCTGATAACAAAGACTCCACAATTTTCTTATTTTTTTGCCATGTCTAGTTTGGATTTTACTCCAAATCCCTTGAACAAAGAACCTGTTTAAAAGAAAATGTCTAAATCATATTAGCTGTAACTAAACGGTTGGATCCTGCTAAGAATTAGTTTGTATCCAATTTATATAATTGTACTTCCGTTTTTAATCTTTATTGCTTCAATGAATGAGGCGGCTCACAAATTCATTGAATCAATAAATATGAATCTGCACATAATTTAAATGAATAATAGAGAACTCTTACATGAAGTATGTAAGACCATATTTTCCTGGTGCCTCTCAAGCAACAGTACAGCATCTAAATGGCAAAATGAGCAGACATTTCAAAGTATAATAAGGCAGAATTGTCTGCTGTTCAAAGAGGGAGGAAAGAGTCAAATGTTCTATATGACATGCTCGGTTTTTGGATTTAGTCATAACAATGTAAGCAGGATTTCAGCCATATTAGTTTCAGCAAGGTATTAGCTTCTAGTAAATAAATAAATACTTGGATGTTCAGTTTTAAAATGGATAATACAAATCTTCTTTTATCCAGAGTTCAGCAGTTCCTCGAGTCTGGGTTTCCACAGATCATCTTTCCATTGTTTGGTGAGTAGTTAAAAGCTTTTTGGTTCAAGGACTGATATACTGCTGTTCTAATATTTTTATTTGGCTATTATTTGCTTTTATTTTATCTGATTTTACAAGCATATTTCCCTTATATTCATTTTTAGGTGTAAGGAATTGAACTTGGCTACTGTCAGAGCATTTTTTGACCTTATTGACGACAATACTAAACAGGTTTGCATTCCTGAAAAAACATTTATTGTTTGATTTTTTTTTTACATTCCTGAAAGTAAGGAAAGATAGCAGTGTTAGGAATATTATCTATGTTACATATTTTATTAGAATTATAAATATATTTTCATTAACCAGGCTGTTTCTGCCATTGTAGTGGCAGGGCTGAGTTCATAAGTTAAAAGTGTAAGAGTCTCAATGTCCTTTCTAAGAAGCCTAACTTTGCCTTCTGCCTTGGGGTAACAATTTTTCAATCTAACAAGATATAGGCAAAATTAACAATTAAAAAAAGAAAATGTAAAAATCCCTTTTTAACTTCCCCTTCATATTCAAAATACTCATCAATAGTGGAAATAAAAATAAAAGTTATTTAAATCACAGATTTTTACTAAAAAGGAACTCACATGGAAAAATTATAAAGGGCAGTACAGATAGTCCTCGACTTACAACAGTTCATTTAGTGACCATTCAAAGTTACAATGGCACTGAAAAAAGTGACTTATGACCGTTTTTCATAGTTATGACCTTTACAGCATCCCATGATCATGTGGTCAAAATTCAGATGCTTGGCAACTGGTTCATACTTATGACAGTTACAGTGTCCCAAGGTCATATAATCACCTTTTGTGACCTTCTGACAAGCAAAGTCACTGGGGAAGCCAGATTCATTTAACAACCAGGTTACTAATTTATCAACTGCTGTGATTCACTTAACAACTGTAGCAAGAAAGATTGTAAAATGGGGCAAAACTCATTTAACAAATGTCTCACTTAACAACAGAAATGTGCTCTGTTGTGATCATAAGTTGAGGACTACCTATATAAGACTCTGGGCAGATGCCAGGGTTTATAGATTTGCTTTTCTTTTTTAAAAATATGTTTTATTGATTTTTAACATAATCACCTTAATATTTGGTAAACAGCATGCTGTCTGGGTTAGTATTTAAAAAACCAATAACAATTTCTATAATTCTATAGTCCATATAATGGCTTTGCTTGATTTTCTTTTCTTCCAATTATATTCTCTTTTGCCAACGAATTTAATTATGTCAAGAATAAGAAACTTATTTACTGTTAATTTATATCTGTAAAAAGAGTACAAAGACGTTTATTATTGGTGTAGTTATATTTCAAAGAAAAGATTAACTAATAGAACTAACGGAACAGTATCTAGGACAAATGTTTTAAGAATAAATTTAAACAAAAGGGAAGTTTCGTAAGAATGACCAATTCTATTTCTCAAAATTAGTTACACTTAAGTATTTAAGTCTTTTTTCTCATACAAGCCATCCCAACACTTTTGCATTTTTCATATCTTAAAAAAGGGGGAAAACAAAGAAAACATTTCTTTTATATAAACCATTATAAAACATTTTTATATTTCTCATGTCAAAAAACAAACACAAAGGAAAAAAGAAAGAAAAAATACTGTATTACTTGAGGGGTTCATCCCTCTTAAATTAATCTTCATTTATATCCAAAATCTTTCTATTTCTTTAACCATATTCAAACAGATGTTTAATTTTTAAATATTCCCTCTGGTAAATCCCATCATCTAATTTCTTAATTCTCACTTTAGCCTTTTTTTTGCCAAACATCTTTCCTGATCAATATGCTTTGCTGAATCAAAGAATCTTCCCATAATCTTGTAAGTGTTTTTATAGGAAGGTTTCGCCCCTTCGTATTCACTGAGAATCTTTTCCTTTCTTTCTTGATTTTATTTATCATTTTTTGTCTCTCAAGTTCTCGTAGTTTTCCTGGCAGAATCCATTTTGTCAAATATTTTTTCTTGTCCTCAAACTTATTTTGTGATCTTAGAGCAGTGGTAGCAAACGTATGGCATGGGTGCCAGAGGCGGCACTCGGAGCCCTCTCTGTGGGCACACATGCTATTGCCCCAGCCTTGCCTCCCCCTGTGACCCCCTCCTCACCAGCAACCCCCCTGGAGGAGAGTCACCCCCGAGTGTGGCCCACGCAGAGCAGCACAGCCGAGGATATGGCAGCCAGGCAGCGTAGACAAGACTCTGCCCTCACGCCCGATCGCACACAGTTGATGCTGCGGGGCACGGCAGAGGGCATGGCTGCCATGGCGCTGCTGGGCTGCCTAGGCGATCTGTGGCAGGCCTTGGAGGCTATGAGTGACCCTGCGGGCAGGCAGGGTAGGGGCGGGGCAGGAGGTGGGGCAGGTGCAGGGGCAGTTTTTGGGCACTTGGTCTCTAAAAGATTCGCCATCACTCTCTTAGAGTATAGGTTATCTTTTCCATGTACAGTATTTCCTGTAAAAATTTTTCCAGCTGGGTTAAGTCATACTTCCTTTTATTGTTAAGTTCCATCTTAAAATCTCTCTCCTCTATCTCGTATTCAGTTGTCTGTTTTTTCTGCTCACTCTCTGTTTTTATTTTCTGAGAATTTTTGTGTTGTAAAGTTAAATTGGAGATGTGTTCATTTATATTTTCAAAGTTATTTTTAAATTCCTCGTGGTTTGAGATCATTGTTGTTTGGATTTGTTGTATAGATCTCCTTCTGGAAAGTATTTTTTTTCTTGGTATATTCTTTCTGCAGATCTCTGGTTTTCCATGATAGCCAAAAATCAGGGTTTTCCTTTCTTTGAAGCCAGCTTTAGAGTCACAGTCGAGTTGGTATTTATAATCCAGAAAGGTCAATTTTTTTCCCTAAAGTTTATAAATAGCCCAAAATGTTCTCTTTTTTTGTCACAGTTATTCTCTGTTATTAAGACATTAAAGGTCACCAAAAACAAGTTATATTTTCCTGGGCTTTACCAGCTCCTGTAATAGAGCAACTGCTGTTGTATATTTTCATCCACCACTAGATGTCAGCATCAGTTCATTTTTCAGAAATAGACAATTGTTTACTTCTTTTATTTACTTCTATTTTCATGGTTTAAAAAGAAAATCTTAACAGAATCAACTGATTTCAAACTTATCCAGATTAAGTCTTATATTCATTTCATTTCAGTATATTTCTGTTCCCCCTGAAAAATTTAATTCGCCGTTTCTGTCTGCAGGAGGGTGAGGCAGATCCCTTCCTTCTCACTTTTGGAAGCATTTTGCTTCTTGGGGTTTTTCTTTCTTTTTTTCCCCTCAGGAAATCAATTTTCAAGTAGAAGAGAGAAAATAATTATTCTTACCCAGTTCCAAACACGTTGTTTACAGTCAGCTTAAAGTAGTTCTTTTGGGCTTCGGCTGTTTGTAGTTTGGACTAGACTCTGAAGTTAAGCTAGCCTTTCTCCTGATGGTTTCTGGAGGGCTTTTCCTGGACCGATCGGATCTACTGCCATTCCTCTGGAATCAGCAGGACTTCCTTCTTTGTTGCCTCTATGGGGCAACTTCAGGCCCATTTAGGGTCCACTAGCAAGCAGAAATCATCTGTAGGTGCGGAGCCCCACAATCCCCTGGCTGCTGAGCTACTGCGCAAAACCGAAAGTCTCAGATTTGCTTTTCATTTAGGATAACGCTACTCTAAAAGAGCTTCCAAGTTGCATAAAAAATATGTAATATTCCAAATATATATGGAGAACATAAACACCAGGGGAAAAAATGAAGCATTGACCAGGAAATACAGAAATCAAAATTTGTGAAATACTTAGTTACCTTTTCTCTATTCCTTCAGAGAATACAGAAGCCTTGGAAAAGATACTATCTCTGTGTTAATTTTCTGCCTGGAAAATTCTGCTACCTGCAGATTCCAGTTTAAATCTAAGGCTGAGGAAAATCTATTAATCCTCTTGGCTTCCAACCTCTAATCCAAAACATTTAGTGTTTTGTTTTTCGAAAGGAGAAACTCTTTTCTGTCTAGCAGAAAGGAAAGGGGCTGGGAATGTGGTCTGCTTGTTACAAATATGCCCAAACCCATGTGATTCTGATTGAAGCTGAAAAGATGTTGATTTTGTGTCTCCCAATGTTATTAATAATGGTTGGCCTCACATTAAGCCTCAAAAGCTAATTAAAGTTTTTCTTTTCATGTTTGTTAATTCATAGATATCAGAAAATCCCCAAAGAAAAGTTCTGGTCCTAAATCACCATTTTTTAAAATATCCAGGAAAACTCTTTGAAGAAAGACCTGAATCACTTACTGAGTTAACAGGTTAGTGTGTCCAGTGTTACGGTGTGTCTATAACTTCCTTTGATGAGTAAGAGTAATATTAAATCCAAATGAATTGAAGCAATATATTTCATTCAGTTTTTTCCTCTTAAGTTCTGGGAAGTAGCATAGAAACCTTTTCTGTCTGCAAAGCTCAGATCATTAAACCATTCAAATGATTTAAAATATTCTGTTCATTTACTGTTGCTAATATAAATGCTAATTGAAAAAGAATAGGCGACTGAATTACAATACTCAGGTAATCTTCGTTTAGTGACTGTCTTGTTTAGTGATCGTTTACAGTTAGAACAATGATTAAAAAAAGTAACTTTACAACCAGTCCTCACATTATGACCTTTGCAGGCCCATAAAGCAAAGGAAAGCTGAAATAAGATCATGAGCATAGCACTGGTTTCATTTAGAAACTGCTTCACTTAGCTCTGAACTTTTTAGATAGCTGCTTTTTTGATAAGGATGTCATGTGCAATGCTGCCCTAACATTGTAGCACTACAAAGCCCAAGGTAGGTAGTATTATTAAGGTAAAAACCAAGCAATTTATTTGAAGATCCAGCATTTAAGCTTATAACTGCAGTTTTCCAGTATGAATACATTTTTAAAAAAAGCAATGTGAGTTAATCTAAAGGTAGCTTTTTGTTTCCTTTCTGTAAATGCTGGAGTATTTTCTAGGAATATTTATCTCTCTATATATGTGCTTATTCCTTCTCTGTGTGATGTCTGGGCCTGGGCAAATGCATAGGTTAAATAAGTGTTGCTGTTCCATGTGAATGTTTTCTCATAATGTGGTTCTAAGCAGACAGCATGATGGTGTGAACAAAAAAAAATCCTTTTTAAAGGAGGTTCCTATGGACTTCCAGTTTGACATCGTGGTGTGATGGACTCAGGAAGTCAGGGCTCCATCTTCCGCGTTCGATTTCGCCCCGATGGGGACTCCAAAAATGGTCGAAAGCCACCCCAGAGAAGCAACAAAAGAGGGGACCCTTGTTGATCGCAGGAGGGCAGTGGCCCTTCCGTTTGATCCGAGGAAGCCTTCCAAACCGGCGGGGGAAAGACTGGCTACATTCATGTGGCCAGTCAGAAGCTGTTGACAACCAAAGAAAATAAACATTAACGAGCAACTTTCGAGCAACATGGATGGAACTATCCTATCCTATCCTCTCTTTAAGACTTTCTTCTGGAAAAAAACACCCAAAGCAAAGAATCCTCCCCGAGGAGAGAGGGAAGGGGAATTTCCATCCTATTTCCTCAGAAAAAGAAAACCAGTGAATTAATTGCTTGGGGGAAAACAGAGAAAATTACAAGATTAATTTGGAATCAATACATATATATAGCTTTGAAATTTGGGAACTAAAAGTGCTTTTGAGATTTTTTTTGTTAAAAAAAAAGGAGACTTGAAAACTTGTAATATGTTTGGACTTAAAAAGCTAGAAGACAGCATCAACAACATCTAGTGGCAAACCACAGCACTACAATTTATTATGTTTAAGGGAAACTTGGCTTGAAGCCCAGACCCAATTAAGACTTTTGTTGACCTTGGAAACTTTCACTTTTCTAGATTGCAGCTGGGAAAAGGGGAAAAAAACCTCTTGGGCTGCTTATCTGTGTGGCAGAGACGATAAACTATTTTGAAACTAGCCTGCCTGGACCATGAATATAAATACTAACTAACTTTTAGAGCTGTGTCGTGCAGCTATTTACCTGTAGAAGAAACATGCATTATGGATTGAGATGATGGAATACTGTGGATTATAAACCTTTGACTGATGAACAACTTTTCATTGCTTTTTTCTCTCTGGACAGAAAGGACATGTTTCTCATTGGACAGAAAAACTTGAATTTTGCTTATATTTGCTTAGGGGAGGCTTAAGGATGGACTGGTAGGCTGGATAACTTGGAGCTCAAATGACAATTGACTGGAACTCTTTAAATCCCTAAATAGATTGGACTACGTAGACCACATATAAAAACAAAATGAATCTTCCATACTCAGCTTTAAATGGTAAAAAACCATCTCTAACACTTATCTCCAAAGTCCCCAGCTTGACATATCAACAAGAAAATGTTGTTGAAGCTCAGAAGGATTTTTTTTTCTATGTTAAAATTAACACAAGACAATTGCCTTAGCTCATGATGAGACTAAAAATAACACAAAGGAAATAAAAGAATAATTTTCTAATCCAAATCCAAAATTCAGAAAATGACTATAAAGAAGGAACTAGTAACCCCAAAAAATAAAAGAAAAATTAGAGGAAGCGGATCCAAAGATGGAGGACCTAAAGGAAGGAATTAACGAAGAATTAGAAGACATAGCAATGATACCGGAAACCAAAAAGACATCTTACCTGTCAAGATATCAGAACACTCTTGAGGATAAGGAAGAAAAGCCAATCGAATGGAAGATAAAGCTGTTAGGAGAATTGTGGGAAATTGGAGAAGGAAGGAGGCTGTTTAATGAATATCAATGGGCTGAGGTTCTTCCAAAAATATCTTAACTAAATTGTCTTACTTATTCCAAACAATATACATAAAAATAGAGGAAGAACTACTTGATGATTCAAAGGCATTGACTTGGAAAGTTAGTTGGCAAAGGAAGAAAGCTAGAGCAAGACTGAAGAAAATAGAGGTCCTGACCCATTAGATGGGATATTATACTATTAAAAAGATGTTTGAATATGGCTAAGAGAATATATAATTGTTAGAAATAGAAGTGTTATTAGAACTAAAAAGATAGCGTTTATAACTAGAATTTTATATTTTGGTATGAGAAGGGAAATATGAAAATGCTAAGAGGGTTTGAACAAGGGAAGCCTTTGGTTGCCCAAATATAATTTATTATGAGAAAATTATAACCGATAGAGACACTTTGAGTACTGATGGGAAATATTTTTTTTTAAAAGCGGGAAAAACAGGATATTGATTGAACAAATAGATAGTGCAAATGCATTTGAGATACCATTTGTCCGAAATGGTATAGGGTTTCCTGCCTGAGCAGGGGGTTGGACTAGATGACCTCCAAGGTCCCTTCCAACTTTACTGTTACTATTACTGCTATATGTTTTGGTTAGAAAAGATATTTTAAATTGACACTACTGATATTATATATAATATTAGAAAAATGTAACAAAGGCTGATATTCAATTGTATATGTATTAACAGCAATAAGAATTGTATTTGCCCAGTATGGAAACTGTAAAACACCAGAAGAAGAGAGGAAGCACTGGATAGTGTAGTATTGTACCTAGATTGAGGAAGTTAATATGTACCACTGAATTACTGACGGATCCAGACAACATGTTGCTTATTAAGTACTTATTATTGTAAAACTAGAAAATTAATAAAATACTTATAAAGAATGTTCCTATGTTGTTCTCATTATTGCAACCACGAGTGTTTCTGCAATCTAGCATTTCATGATTTAATGTTTGATATTCCGACTAAATTATTAAATATAAAGATTTAAAAGCCTTATGTATTTATGAAAAGCTTGAAAAAGAATATATGGTAATGATACTGATGCTAATTTGCCTGCTCCAAACTAAAATCAGAAGAGAGGAATTTGTTTTTATCATTTCAAAAATATTTGTTTGTCCACGTTAAAAGGAAACATGCTATTTTAGATTTCATAACAAAATTATTGTGGTATAGTAATGCAGGACAGAAGGAAAAAAAGTAATCAAGTCTGAAGAAAAGTATTGGGTTTTTTTCAGAAACATCAATTTGGATCAACGTAAAAGCTTCAAAATGGTCCTACAAAGGATTCAATGTAAGTAATATTTTTCATTTAAAATTGAATTATTTATTAGATTACGTAGAAGCTATTTTTTTATTTTTATAAGGTCCTTTTAAGTTCAGGCAGGTTTATCTAGCAGTGCTAATGTTTGAAATTAGCACCTTTCCTATGAAAAATATGTGCTCTACCACTTATTTACAGCTCTTTCTCTGATGGAAAATCTAGAATTGAATATAATGTGGTAATTATTGAACCAAGGCCTCCCCAAATCCAGTCTAGCTATTAGGATGTGCAAAACCTTTGTAAGCTTGAAAAGTTCAGAAGTCAAAAAGACAACCAAATGTTCCTAGTTCAGAAAAATCATTCATTTCAATTTACATTTCACATCTGCCTGGATTTTTTTTTTTAAACTGTCCAAGCCATGGAGATTTGGAGAGTGGATTAATGAATGAAAACAATAAAAATAGCAGAGAAAACATGAAGGAGTATTATTTTAGAGCATAGTATTGGTAGGTAGGTTTACTGATGAATTTAAATTTTTTGCTATGGAAAATTGGAATTCATGGGTTGTTAAATTATATGACTATCCCTATGTATATTCTCTTTATATTAAACTTTCTTTTTCAAGCTAGTTGCAAAATGTAAAATGTAATAGGTACCATGCCTTACAGATGTTGTTGCTATGCTGTTCGGGCTGCAAACACAAACACTATTTTGCTTTATTGAATTTTGCAAGCAAATATTGAAGCTCTCTGTGCCTATTCATGGAAAAGATGCCTCAAGCCAGTTGTCAAGAGAAGTACAACTCTTACATTGATTGTGGGCTAAGATTGAAGCAAATCTATTGCTATCAAATTTTACCTTAGTTTAGTTTCATGGTTGTGCAGGCATCTGCCGTGACAAGCCTGCTTAATCATTGCTTCCATTTTTTGCTATGAGAATTAAAAAATATTTTAACAATTCACTTAGCTGATTTTTCTGTAGTTGGGTAATAAGTAACATTTAGCATGGATTATCACCATATTGATATTTGTGGTCTTTGCATGGAAAACAGAGCAAATGACATTTGTCAATTTCTCATTGTTCTGTATGGTAAAATACTTTCAATGTTTAAACGTTTTATTCTACCGTCTAAAACATCATAGCACAATTTCTCAGTGTATTTGTTTTATTGTGTTCAGGTAAACATTTCTGTCTTTTTCTAAATAGGAATCAGATGGAAAATATTTTATTTTTTCCCTCTCAAACCAAAGAAAATCATACACTCATATTTACTGCCAAAACAGTATGTTGGTAAGAAATTATTTCCTTCCTGACATTCATTTTCATTGTTAGATTATAATGCATCTGTTTTAAGGAATTTTAATGTTTTAAGCCAGGGGTATCAAACTCGCAACGTCATGTGACGTATCGCGGTGTGTCGTGACTTTTTTTCCATTGCCGGCAATGGG